TTGAAACATTCAACAGCTTAAAAGCTCATTTGGCTCCTGACCTAGAATCTGCAGCCAGCCTTGCCTCGTATCCCTAGAGCCTCGGCCTCCTCCGTGGCCCTCCTTTGTAGCATACTCCAGCAAGAAGGCCTTCCCACCTAGGGCCCCTAAGGCAAGCAGGGGTTACGAGTCTCTGCTCTTCCCTCAAGAACACTGGTTGGCATTGAACCTGCAGAGCAAGAGCAGCCTCAAGTTCCAGGCTGAGGTGGGAAATAGGAGGATGGGGGTAGGAGGAGTCAAGCATGATTGGCAGGTCATTAACTGTTATGCAAAACACTCAGTACAATGAATGAGCGTCCATCCTGGAAAGTTGTCTTTTCTGGTCCTCTCTGTAAGACCCCAAGCCTCACAGACCCCCACAGTGCCCGGGTGTCTGATGTCTTCAGCTAATGTAGGGTCACAGGAGCCAGTGGCAGAGGTTACCTGAGGAAGTTCCCCTCTGCCGCCATGCTGCAGATGACCTCGGGTAAGGTGCTCAGCTCCTGGTACCAGCTTCCCAAGCTCTTAGATGGGAACAGGGTCCTCAGCCCGAAGCACCTTCAGAGCTGCTGTTGGCACCCTGTCTGCACGGACACTCCACCAAAGAAGAGTTCACTTCCACCCATCCAGAGCACACTCTCCCCCCACAACTGTGTCCCTGCTCCCAAACCCCAAAGCTCACTCATGGATGAAAAGGGATTATTTCCCATATGGGAGGTGGAGGCAACCCCCCATGCCCTTCTGTATAATGGGCCTTGGCCTGCCCAGCACCCCCTGCACCTCAGATCTCAGGCACATTTCAAGGAAAGGATCAAGACTGAACAGGGCAGCCTTAGCATAGCCCTCAGGAATACAACAGCATGGGCTTAGAGTTGACCGAGTGAGCAAGGGGGAAAGTAAAGTGAACCTCCATTAACCTCCCAAGACCCAGACAGTGTGAGGCCCCAGTGAGGAGAACAGTAGGCCAGGTTTCACAGTGGGCTTCTGAGGTGGCAAGGGAAAGCTGGGGTCAGGGTGTGCCACGAGCAGTAACTCTGTCCAGGATTACAACTTCCTGTCCATCCATTCTCTGTAGACTCTTAGCTCAGATGGAGGCAGGACTGTGCTCATGAGACTCCACCTCCCTCCTACCCCGTCTCTGAGAGGGAATCAAAGCAACTTATTCACTAGACAAGTCTGAAAAAACCAGAGGTGAGACAGCTTGTATCTTTGGAGATAGCAGTGGAGAAAGCAGTTACTGCCACTGGCAGGAGACGAGGAGGGCCACAGCTCTAACTACAAAGGGCGTGGGTTCAGCATGGTTCTCAGAAGCCCTGAGCAGGCATTTCACACAGCCTTTGATGCATAGCCCTGTAGTGGTGGCCTTGGTGCACATCGTGCCTATTTTACAGAGGTAAATGCTGAGCTCCAAATCCTCAACCAGGAAGACCACCCAGGAAAAGCCGAAAGTCTGCGCTCTATACACCTTCGCTTCCTCACTGTGTAGTTTTGCAAGGCCCTGGTATGCCCAACATCCCCTGAACATCAGGGAAGTCCCAAGACTCAGATCCAAGCAAGTGAGGAAAACAGGTCATGCCTGAGGGAGCCAGCAGCTGCCAGAGCCTATGGCCACTATGGCTGGGCTCAACATGTATGTGCCATGGAGCTAAACAGGATACTGTGCCACAGAAGCCTCTATTTTGGCCCGGGGGGTCACTGTGGGGCCATGGGCACCCCTGGCTTCCCAAGTCTCCTTGGAAGCTTTGTGGGGTCCAGCAAATCTGCCTAGAAGAGGCACTGAGTGGGAGCACTAAAGCCTGTGCCAGCAGTGGCCTGACCATGGCCTCAGTGCCGGCACCCTCCCCCTCCTCAAACCCAGAGAGCGATGGAACAAACAGGCCTTTAACAAGCATAAGAGTCTTGTGGGAAGAAAGGACCACTGGAGAAGTTTCCAGCAAGAGCCTTCTAGAGAAGCCAGGCAGTGAAAATGAGAAAATAGAGAGCACTATTATCTGAAACCTGGAAAGCAAAGAGTTAAATCACTTCTATTTCAAAAGGGATAAAAATTCACTTGCAAAAAAGCACAGAGAAGCGGAGGCCAGCTCCCCACCTCTGCCATTACATTACACCAGTAAGAAGCAAAGGGGAGGAACAGTCCCCACTGGCCACCCTCTGCCTTGCTGCCCTAGCTGGTCTTCATTAAGGAAGACAGGTCCAATTTCCCGCCGTGAGCACAGCTAACAGCCAGGAAACCCTGGGGCTGGGAAAACACAGACCTCAGACCATTAACAACTTGTGGTCAACAAAAATCCTGGGCTTCTGGCAGCCTCTCTCCTCGAATCAAATTCCACAGCAGGAGAAAAGAGCTCACCAGAAACTCGGGACTGTGAATGCATTGCAACCTGCTGTGCCAACCAAGCTGCAGAGTGAGAACCACCTTGTACATGGCAAGAGAAACTGGACTCTGCAGCCAGTATCCTAATGGGTTTGAAAACTGGGATCTGCCTTCGTTCTCAACATAAATTGGTAACTGTTTCCCATTATAGAGCGCTTGCTGTGGGTCACGAATGTGCATGCCTTCTCTGGATTGATTTCTGCATGCATGCACATGCGCACGCGCGCGCGCGCACACACACACACACACACACACACACACACACACACACACACATTATTGCACCCATTTTGCAGCCATTGAGCCTCAGCTGTGGAGAAAACCCAGCCAAGACCTCTAAGCTGCACCCAGTTCTCTGAGCTGGTGAACCTTCCCACGAGTCTGGACATACAGTGCTGGCTGCTTCATTGGGGGATTTGTCTGGCGATCCTATGTTTAAGATGGTGCAAGGCTGAGGACTAGCGCAGTCAGTAAAGTGTTCACCACGCAAGCGTGAGGACCTGAGGCCGAAGCCCCAGGACTGGGAATGGTGGTTCGTGCCTGTCACCGGGTCTGGAAAGTGGAAACAGCAATTCATGGAACTTAGGGACCAGCCAACCAGCCAGTCCTGCCACATCAGTGGGCGTCAGGTTCAGTGAGACCTTGTCTCCAAAACTGGTGGAAAGTGACTAAGGAAGACATTTGACATTGACTGCTGGCCTTCATATGAACACAAACAAGAACACACACACACACACACACACACACACACACACACACACACACACACACCATACACTTTTTTTTTTTAGAGATTCAAAGCTTTTTCCAGAACCTTGATGATAAAAAGCTTATTGTCACACCCTGAAGAAATGACAAGTGTTTGGTATAGCCCAACATCACTACTACACAGCAAATTCAGTCAGACTTGATGTTTTGCTCAGCCCTGGGATGCCCTTGCATGCCTGCCTTCAAGATTTTGCTCACCAGAGACTGGACATCAGGAGGCACCCTGGCTCCACTTGCCCACAGGGTAATCGGTAAAAGCAGTGTTTGGCCCCTAGACCAGCTGTAAGCACCAGCTCCACACAAAAGGAGCCAGCTGCCGCCTGTCTAGCTAAGGACACTCATCCACCCTCCAGCTCATCCCGGATCCCTGGGCATGTCTACTCAGAAGCCTGCCCTGAGGACAGCCTCCAGGGTTCAGCACTGTCTGCACATGTGTGCCCATCCCACCTGGCAGAAGGCCCAGGCTCCAGTGTCAGCCTTCAGAGGGCGCTGAGTCCAGCAGACACACCCTGCTTTTACCTTCTCCTGGAGGCTGATGGCATTTCCACAGAAGGCTGTTCTGGACTCTCCCTGCCCATTGACTGCAGATTCTATCCCATCTTCACCCTAGCTGACCTTGGCCCACCGTGACCTCCATGGTGAGTGTAGTTCACATTCATGGAGCACTCACTCCTTATCACACTCAACCACATGTCATTTTTGTCACGGATCCATGTAGTAGTCACATGGCAATCCTATGTCAGGTCACAGAGTCCCTGCAGACAACTAGGATCAACTTGACACTGCATCCAACTTGCTGGGCCCTGAACCACTGAGAGGACATGGCCTAGAACCACCCCCACACACACACACACACACAGCTGGGAGGCCATCAGCAGGCCTCCTCAGACACAGGAGCAGATGTACCTGGTGGTGACCCAATACACTGAGGAAGTGGCACTCACATGGCATTTGGAGATCTAGGAGGGTAGTGTCCCCATTCTGTCCTGTCCAACCCCTCAGGGGGGTACCTGAGAGCCAAGTTAGCCTTCTGAGACCATTAGCCAGGCCATTATCAAATTTCTTCAGCCAGGGAATCCTGCGCCCCAAACTTTCCACAAAGCCCACAGTCTGTCTAAGCGAAGGAATCAGGTCAGATGTCCCAGCCCAAATCCAAGGGCTCGGGCTTCAGACGTACTTGAGACACAGACCTGAAGGGATGTAAGCAGGTGCTGCTTTCAGGTGGCCTCCAGGGCCAGCAGACACCTGCACAGGCTCTAAACCTTCTTCCTGAATCAAGACAGTTCCCAAAATCTCTCCAAGCTCAACACAAACCCAGAGGACTCTGTAGACTAAAGCACAGGCCTCAGACCCTGTTCTGCTCCCTGCTTGTATCTCTGGGGCATTTCCAAGGAAAGCAGGCTCTGCTGGACCTGGCTGGAACACCACTGTCTTAGAACACACACTGAGTCAGCAGGTCCCTCCTGACAATCCCACTGTGTGGCCCAGCTCTGCCCTGCAAGTCCACTCAGAGGACGCTGGCTCTCCTCAGCAGAGCCCTTGCCCATCAGAAGGTGCAGTCAGGGTAAGCTTGCCGAAGCCCTGTGTCCATCCCAACCTGGTCCCCAGGACACACGTGCTGAGTTGCTTGGAAAAGGGCAGTCACGACCATCCCTGCACGGTTCTCACATGGCAGCTAGGCCGGCCCCTCTCCTCCCACAGGCCACAGCACTCTGTGGAAAGCAATAGAGTCACACCGCTCCCTAACCGAGGAGATGGGGCTCCCACGGAAGCCACAGATTTCTACTGGAGGAGCCACCACTTGCCCCAAGTGTCCCAAGTGGCATGGGGGACTGCCTACCTCAAATATTTCATCATCCAGAATCCGGGAGCCAAACATGATGATGCCGTTGACATCTATTATGGGGTGGTCACTGCGGTTGAGGAACTTCATGATCTTCTTCTTACAGTCAAGGATCAAAGTGACATTTTTCTTGTAGACACTGATAGCAATTCGGTGCCACCTGCAAAGAAACAAATATTCAGGCAGGGAAATGTGCTGCAAAGCCTCTGGGTGACAACCTTGGGCTCAAGTCTGGGCAATATCCCACAAGGATAGTACTGTCAGTTAGAGGATTTCTAAGAGTCAAAGAAGGGGTCACAGCCACTGGCTTCAGAACTCGGTGTCAAAGGCGACAGCGGGCTTCTTTTCCCATTGTGCATATAGCACTCATAAGGCAACAAGAACTCAATACTTATAAAGCACCCTGTCCTAGATCAGGGAGCTGTCTCGGTTTAACTCCCCTCTTTGAGCGTAACCGGGAAAGTTCCAGGCTTCTAAGAGTCCTGCTTGTGAAGTCCTAATGTAGCCCCGTCACTTAGAGTGAATGGGACTAGACTCTGGAAAGAGCGCTTGTAACACAGGTGCTTCTTGGGAACAGATGTAAAATGCATCTCTAGTCCACTCAGACCCTCAAATCCAGACTTCTCATCTCTAAGATGCAACCCCCGTGAGCTCCTGGGGTGCCCTTGGGAGGTATGACCATAGGGGTTCAGGGTGGATTAAGCAATAGGAAGAAGTCACAGGGAGACTGCAGTCACACTATCATGACAGCCCCGGTCTTCATGCGGGGTGTGATCCCCATGACAACAGCGGGGTGGATATGATGGGTTAGCCTACAGTCTTGCTAGAAAACCCAGGAGCCACTGCTTCATGGATGATCTCCAGCATTCAGGGTGCCCCAGCAGAATTCTGGAGACTGGGCTCTGCTCTCATTCACTCACACAGACACTGTGTCAGGCCCAGCAAGGGCAAGTTCCCCTGGGAACAGGTAGGCATGGCTGCATCACCTCCTTTGTCCCTTATCATCTCGGGCCAGGACAGGATGTGCTGAATTCTACAGGGAACAAGGCTAGAGAACAGCAGAAGTCCTTGGAGTTTTAGAGAAGAAGCCAAACCCTACGGCCTCAGGTCCTGTGCTCCATCCTCCTGGTCCTCTGTGGACATCATATGCCATCTACAACCAGGTTAGCTGCTGCCCATGCTGTCTGGCCAGCAGCTGCCCCCACCCCCATCAGCAGGATACTTACTTGCCATCTGACAAATTGATGCCTGGGAAGAGTGGATACTCTTCAGGCCCCGGCTTCCCTGTGTGGTCCTCATAGAGGAAGACAGGGGACCGGCCCAGCTCCAGCCCCACCTGCTGGATGCCCTGCTCATTGTAAACGGAGACTAGGAAGGCCTGGCTGCCTTTCTTGGCTTTCACGGTGGTCAGGATGGAGAAGTCCTCAGGAAAGTCAGACTCTGGAACAGAGGACAGGGTGAGAGGACCATAGGAAACCTGGTGCTGATCAGCTGCAAATGGGCCAGCGTAGAGCTCTGTCACAGCCTGGTGGGTGGTGGCCCTCTGCAGCTCACAGGCCTGAGATCAACCCTCTGCAGCCCTCCTCCACCACAGGGGGTCAAGCTGCCAATTCAAGGCATATTTGAAACGCAAACTTCTCCAGGAAACCCTTACAGTGATAAGCCCGAAACACCCTCTCCTTGGCTCCACCCCACTCCTCCACACATCTGCTTATGAGTCCTTCTCAAGACCCACTGGACAGAGGCAGCTTACGAAGGACCCTTGCATGTCCCACTGCATGAAAGGCTGGGCACAGTGTGCCTCATTCAGTGTCAGTCACAGGGGATTTGAAGAGATGGAGTAGGAGACTACAGGACTGTGGCGTGCCTAGACTCACACTTCATGAGACATCCTTGTCCATAAGCAAATCAAAGAAAAAGCAGAAATAAATTTTAAAATACTCCAAATTTAAATTAAAAAAAAGTATCAAGTATTTGCACAAGAGGGACAAGATGTCCCTAAGCTGGCCCTGGGGATACCTAAAACCACTTCTGATGCCATCCTTGGCTGGCATGGATCCCCATGGATCCTGGTGGAAAAGTCAACCGTCCTCCTATGACTGAAGTTTTGCCACTGATGGCCTGGGTCTGACAGGTGTGAGCAACACAGCTAATTAATGCAAGGGAAGATGGTCTAGAGACATTCTTTCTCTCCTCCAGCTATGGAGAGTGTACCTCTCAGATCCCTCGGAGGGTCCCAGCAGGAACAGGCTGACAAAGGACAGTGGTGGTGAGGTGCCACCGAGCCACACTGTCCTCTCTGTAGAGGGCTGGAAGTCTGAGGTATGGGCTGGGACAGGGCAGCAGTGTCTGGCTATCCCACCTTCTCCTTTGGAGTTGGAACAAGGTCAACCATTTGGCCAAGAAGGCCACTAGTCCCTGCTATAGCCAGGCTGCTTTGCACAGTTTACACGCAAAGCTATCCAAGGGCGCCCTCTGCTGATGGAACTGTATGCTGCAGGTACCATGCTGGTGTTGGGGGGAGTAAAGTGTCCTAAACCCTGAGGTATGGGGGTGGAGGGACCCCTTGAATTCCCACCTCTGCTGTAGGACACAGACAGAGAGAGCTCATGGAGGCTGAGGGAGCTCCTGGCAGTGAAACTATTCAGGCCCCAGGGGTGGCCCAGGAAGCCAGTGGAAGAACCCCCGTGGGGTCATGACCTCTCATTAAGAGGCTCTGCAATTCTGACATGAACTGGCCATGTGTCCTCGCTCGAGTTAGGTACTTGTGTAAAGAGGCTGGTGTGCAGGGACCTGTTTGTGTGCTCAGCAGCATGACCGACCAGCTCCAGTGGAGTCAGGACGACAGTGCCAGGCTGCTCTGAGGGCAGGTAATGACAGTCATGCAGCTACTTGAGGAAAGACAGACTCCACTGAGGGAAGCTGCTTGGAAGGGGGCAGGGGAGGCTCACTGCCTTGCCACGCTGGGCATCAACACTGTACCTTCCACTGTCAGGGATGTGGGGGAAATGGAGGACTCAGCCTTAGCCAGTGCTGCTGGGCGGTGAGGACTGCTGTGCATGCCCAGTCAGCCATGCCAGTGGTGGGGCCTTGCCCCTGCAGGAGGTGGACACTACAGGGGTCCCTCCAGCAGCCTAGAGGCCACTGTGTGCATTCGGGGTGGACCACGCAGCCATTATCCCACCTCTGCGCTCACCCTGAATCTGTGTCCCTTGCAGCCATTGACTTGAAAGAATGAGAAGAATGGGACATGAGAGAGTCCTCTTTCTCCATCATGATTTATGGCTGAGGACAGCCAGCCCATCTCTCCCAGCTCATTAAAATGCTCTTTCTCAATGTTTAAAATCACTATGGTAACAAATTTTCTCAGCTCAGACAAAACTTGAAAAAGATAAATTATGTTGAACGTTAATCTCTCTCCTGGCAAAATAGCAATGGATTTATAGTCACTTTAAGAAGGTCCCTTCTCACTATGACAAGAGCCGGCCGCTGACACTGTACTGCAAGCTTCCGGGCAGTGTGGGAGAAGTGCATCCACTGTCTGGTGCTTCCTAACTCATCCCACTCAGAAAGTCATCACCAAGCGGTGAGCACGGTGGAGGATCTGCTGCTTCCCGTAAGGGATGCCCTCTCTCCTTCCACCGACACCCAAAGGCACCAGTCCACGGCAGGGTACAGTAGGCGGCCAATAAGTGCAGCTGCCATGGAATTGACTCATTCTAAGTCAATGGTTATGGGCTGGCTGATGGATCGCTTGCCTTGCTGAGGTAATCAATACTATGACAATTCCTCAAACATGGGCCAGGCTCCAGGGAGAAGTCAAGGGACAGACATGGTCCTTGCACCCAGGAAGTGACATTTCCATAAGGGACAGAAACAATAATCAAGTAAGTTATTTCAGTAACAGCCAATGTGCAGCGGCTTGGGAGGGGGAGGAGACAAGGGGCAGGGAATCACTGCAGGTGTGGAGAGCGTTAGGCAGGGACCAGGACGGCATTTCCGTGGCCGCTGGTGGTCCAGAGGGATTCTCATCGGCTTCCTTCCACCTCCCCATGGGACCGTTCACTGGCCCTGGGGAAGATGATGGGCCTGAAGAACAGCTGCCTACTGTCACTTCCAGCAGGATGGGGTTATTCTGGGGCCATCAAGTCTGACCCCTGGTGAGGGAGAACAGGGCACCTTCTGCTGGACTGTCACCATGAGACACCTAGGACCTAACACGGAGCAAGAGGAAGGTGCCTCTAACACCATGTAGATGCCAAAGTGGGCCATCAACTCAAGGGGGCCCCCACACCCCATGGTATGGAGAGCGTAAGAGATGGGCCATCCCTCAACCAGGGACCCTATATCCTACTGAATAGGGGTGCAAGAAACAAGACATCCCTAAACTGGAGGATTCCATATACCACTCCATGTGGGCACAAAAGGCAGGCCATCCTCAACCATGGGACTTCACATATCAATGGGCGTATTAGGCAAAGACCGTCCTAAAACCCCACTGTAAGGAGAGGAAGGGTGAGACATCGCTGCTAACCTTATATTCCACAGGGAATGGAGTAAGGTGGCCCTCAACCAGGGAGTCCCACGTAATACTATGTGGGTGGAGTGGGCACAGCCTCTCAGAGGAGACCCAATTCTGCCCACTGAAGGGATACAGTACCTCTGGCCTGGTGCTGTGTTCTCACTGTCCTAGGACCTTATATGGGCCTGTTCAGGCAGCCAGCACCCTGCCCTCCACTCATGGCCATGGTCTAGGACCAGCATTCCAAGAAGTGGTTTAGCCTGTGGTCAACAGTGGACTGGTTGGATCTAGGACCTCTGCCCAGTGAGGGTGGGAGGGGCCAATAGGGGCAGCAGGCTGCTCCGCTAATCAGGGGCCACTTCTGGATCCTGGGGCCTGCTGAAGACTTAGGATCATGGAGTAAAGCTAGAGCCCTGGGAAGGGGGGATGAGGAAAAGAGCTCATCCAGGCCAGTCCACCCTGTCTAGAGTCCTGCATCTCAGTTACCTCGTCAGCTGAGGATAGCGCAGCAAAGACCTCAGTGCCCAGCGCAAGAATGGTGGGGATTGGTCCTCTACACCCAAGGTGAGACCAGTTGTCCTGCCATAGTGTGACTTTACAAAGAGAACATTACAAGCAGCTGGTGCTGGCTGGGCAGACACAGGGACAGTAAAGCTTGATGTATGCAGGGAGGGTCCATAGCCAACTTCCTTGAGGTCTTGGCAGTTTCTTTTAGATACAGTGCCTGCCCTGTGGGAGGGAATGGCCAGACCCTACTCCATGGACAAATGTGCCCAGCCATCTAGAGACCCAGATCCACACTTGCTTTGAGGGGAAAATCATGCCGCTCACTGGGGTAAGAAGACTGGGCTGTCGTGGAGATCAGCCACTAACCATAGACTTCACTGAGCACTGCAACACTTAGAAACATCCATCCGTGCTCTGCTCAGTCCAGCCCTGCTGCGGCTGCCTGAAGCCCTCAGGCCTCCCAGAGCAGCTGCCACAGCCAGCCTCCCCACACTGATGCAGCAGAGCAGCTCTTGCACTCTGGAAGGAGGCACATCGGAGCTCGCAGCTGCTCTCCATTCTTGCCTAGGCACATGGCCACCTGAGTCCTACGGAAGGCATCCTATAAGCTCTGATCTGTTTCCTGTCACTTGTCAATCAGAAAGGCTGCAGTACCTTTTAGAATGTTCCAGGATTAACCACTTGCTCTGAGGTACGCAGCCTCATACACCAGATGATGTATCAGGCTGTCCCCAGAACAGCTTTCCCAGACCAACCTGTGGGACCTGAGGAGATGATGCCACAGAAATTCCCCTACAGATACTCTGAAGCCACCTTGGCTCCATGGCCTCTGACAGAGAATCACTGCATGGCCCAGTGCCTCACACACACCCTTATTAGAGCAAGTCTGAGTGTCTAATCAAGTTACTAATTTGAGGACAGGAGTAAACAAAAGCTTCCCAGGACTGGGGCTGGAACTCAGTCATCAGCAGAGTTTCCTCTGAAGCCCTGGGCTTGATGGCTACTGCCACATAAACTTCACACTCATGCATGCCTGCACTCTTAGGACTAGAAAGGTGGATTCAAGAGGATCAGAAGTTCAAGGCCAACCTTGACTGTAAAACAAAGTCTGAGGCTAGCCCAGAACACCTGAGACCCTCTCAAAAATCAATCAATCAATCCCAGGCAGGGCTGCTGGTAAGGATCTATGATCCCCACACTGGGGAGTCTAAAGCAAAAGGATATGAGTTCAAGGCCGGCTGAAGCCAGGCACAATGGCACATGCCTGTAATCCCACCACCTGGGAGGTGGGGAAGGAAGACTAGGAGTTTGAGATCTCCGTAGCTGCTTGGCAAGTTCAAGGCCAGCCTGAGCCTGCCTGAGATTCTGTCTCAAAAACAAAATAACCACAAACTAGTCAACAACCACAAAAATATCCCCTATCATAAGATTCGAGAATGCACTCAATTTCCTGGATCCATCTCCACAATCCTGTGAGAGTTCTTACCGTAAACTAATCCAGTGGGCAGTAACTGACAGACTGGAATTCTAGCGACCTTTTCTGCTTGCACCCTTCCCTTGGGTGACAGTGGTAAGAGAGACTATTAGCAGCAGGCTATGTAAAGCTCCTTGAGCTGGGAGCCTTTCCCCACCCTCTGCCCACACTCCACCCCCAAAGCTATTCCCACATCAGCTTCATACCCCTTTGCCCCTGGCCAGCAGCCCCTTCCTGCCTGGGCTCAGGCCCCTATGGCTCTAATTCAGGAATTCTAATACTTGGGCCACAAGGCAGAAAAATTACAACTCTCTGGAAAAAGATGAAACCAAGAGTTCTCAAGTTGACCTCCCCTCAAAAACTATGCTCTCTCAAAAAATAAGTCACAGAATTCCTGCAGCACCCCACATGGAAGGGTGAGGTTCCCACTCACAAAGGGTCACGGTGGGACATTGATATCCTTACAGATGAGTTAGACTGGGCATCTGTGAGCCAGGGTGGTTCTGCACCAAAAGTGTGCTCCTTGGAGACCCAGGCTGTTTCCGCTGTAGCAGCAAGGGAGGTGCATTACACATGATACCATCCACCCGAAATTATACCCCAGACCAAAGCACCCAGCTTCTCCCTCAAATACAAACTCTTAAAGTCACAATGACTTCAGAGAGATGCTGAATGGGGACAAACCCAGACAGGAGAAGGCCAGAGAAAGTGACAACAGAGCCAGCCTTCAGGACATGGAGACAGCATCCTTGAGGCTCACCAGGACAGCACAGCTTGCTAAAACTGCCCAATTCTGGTTCAGTGTTGGGAAGACACCCAGTCCACAAAAGATTGTGCACAGGCTTCTAATGGCAGAAGGGGAGTGTCTTCTGCCATACTCAGGTCAGCAATGTTGGGACAACTCAGGTAGAGCTAGCAGGCCCTCCTGAGGCAGGGAGAGAGAAATCTGTCACCTGTCCATCTCACTAAATAAAGCCAGAGCACTTAATCAAGACCAGAACATATGCAGGGTAGGAGCTAAGTACCCAAGTGGGTGAATAATTCAGATGTGCACCTCCATCCAACATGGCTCCCTCTAGATACATAATTAAAAGCAGAGGTCTGACACCTGGCAGCTGCTTCTCATTAAGACTCCCTCACGCTAGCTGCCAGGCAGGAGGCAGGACTTGTGTCTTTTAATGTCACTGGCACCAATTAGGTTCATGTTCCTCACTACACGCATTTCCTTTCCCATGACCTGAGATCTCTCTTCACCTCACCCCTGGAGGGCATCCCCTCCTTTCTGCCTTTTGTCATGGTGGCCCATCATTGGAAACATGCCTGCTTGGAGCCCGTGAGGCACAGACAAGGACTTGCACACACACAAGTGGTGGGTGGGTGGGTGTTAGGTTTCACTATAATGAGGAGGACTCCCAGGATTCACACCCATGGCTCTGTTGCAACCACCCACTCAGGCTTCCTCGATGCCCCTGGCCAGAACCCTAGAGTCCCTGGCACTCTGCCACCCAGAACAGGAATGGACGCCTCTTACCAGGGTACAGCTGCTTGGTGGGCATGCTGAGTTGTGCATCTTTAGAGACTCGGTAGGCAACATCCGGCTCGCTGGAAGATCGTCGAGTGGTACAGAAACCTGTGGTTTTCGTTACCCCCGAGGGCAAATTGTAAAAGTCTAGCATCTCCAGAAGGTCTGTTGGCTGAGCTGCAAAGACAGAGAAGCTGTGTCAGCCCCAGGGTGGACAAGGCCGAGGGACACTCCCAAACAAGATGACAGTACTAGACAACAGAAACCAGCCCTCACCAGCCCCTCACACTTCCCAACAAACATCTGGTACTCAGAAGTGGGGGCACTTCTCAGGACCAGGAGGGACACCTCTTAGAAGGGACCCTATCTTCCTCCTGCAACCAGTTGCTCAAGGTCAGAGCCTGACACTTGGGTAGGCAGAAGCAGGTGAATCTCTGTGAGTTCGACACCAGCCTGGTCTACAAAGCAAGTCCAGGATAGTCAAGGATACACAGAGAAACCCTGTCTTGAAAAACAAACAAAACAAATCCTCAACTGGCCTGAGTCACATAAGCTCTAATTCCTTACTGTCTCTTCATCAGCACTGGCGAAGCCTCTGTCCCCCAGACACAGCCAGGAAGCCTCAGAAGACCCACTTCTCCCCAGACATTTCTGCAGAGATGTTTCCAACATTGGAGTGATGCACAGCTTAAAAAATTGCCATGCAGCCTCAGGAATATCAGCTCCTCCCATCTTTCCATTGTCATTGGTGTCATGCTGTCCCCCATGTTCTCACAACAGTTCACAGTAAATATCCAATTTCGGTCTAGACCTAGATCTGAATACCCAGGACAGGAGAATGCTTGCAAAGACCTCAGATCTCTTTGGGAAGACTTCTAACTCTCCATCCTTTGAGAGACAATCAGAAAAGCAGAAGCTTGACCCCTAACCTCTGAAACACAGGTGCTTGCTCAAGAGCTCAACAGTCACCCCTGCAATGATTAGCTTTAATTGTCAACTTGATCTTGTAAGAGTGTTTCAGTGAGGAATTGTTTATATTGGGTTGGCCTGTGGGCATACCTATGGGAGATTGCTCTAACTGCTGTGGGAAGACCCTGCCCACTGTGGGCAGCACTAACCCCTAGGCATGAGGTCCTGAAGTACAAGATGAGGAAATCATCAAGCTGAACATAAGCAGGCAAGTGAGCATGTATACATCCATTTCTTTCTGTTCCTGACTGTGGGTGTGATGTGCCCAAATGTTTGAAGCTCCTGCCTTGACTTCCCCATCTGAAGGACACAGGAGGCTGAAATTGGCTCATTCCTTGACTGTCCTTCCCAAACTCAATTCACCAACTTCCTGCCTTCCTCCCCAATTGGACGTTACTGTGGGACTGACTTCCCAGGAGGACAGTCAGACTATTTTTAAGAAGGTGGTAACAAAGGATGATCATGCAGGCTTCCTCAGGTGAGGTTTCTGATGGATCCTTCACCAGTAATCACCAAGTCTAGAGCCAGACACTTGTTACCTGAGGCAACCTAAGTACCAGGTCTGCAGCTGACTTTTTGGTATTCTTCATCTTTTACTCCATGGAAGAAGGGTTCCCTATCTCTATAGGAAATCCTCATGAAGGACAGCAGAGGACAGAACACATAGACAGCCAGCCCACGGTTGATCCAGCATAGCCTCCACCCACTTCAGAATCCTGGGCAGCTCTTAGCCACCACCCAGGGCCCAGAGCCACATAAGGTGGCAGATACTTGGGTATCTGGGGCACCTCCCAGGTACTCATGACTCATGTGGTGACAAAGTCCTCACTGTGTCCTTGTTTAGCGAACATCAGAGGCAATGCTGAGTGTGCTGGCGAGGCTGTGTGGCACAGTCCCAGGCCTGGACACAGGCGTGGGAAGATGACCGTGCCAACTGCCAGCACACCTGGCCAGAATGACATAGTACCGAACCTTGGGTCATCTCAGAAACTGAGCTCTAAGGCTGGCAGTGACCTGGGGAAGATATTGATGGAGATCCCAGAAGGGGTTCCTGGACCTATTTCACAGCATCTATACTATGATGCTCTTCCCAGACCAGGCTGGAGCCTGGTTTCCTCATTGTCAAAGCAGAGAGCAGCTTCACAGAAGCTTGCCTGGGGATGTTTGCAGACCTGTGTTCCAACAAGTTTAAAAGGCCACCAGGCCTCTCCTAGGCCCAATGCCACCCTTCCTACTGGCCAGGGCTTTTCTGTGCCAGAGAGCAAGATATATTTAGCTTTAAACAAGGTGTGGGGAACATCAGAGTAGTTTCCGGCATGGCAGCTTCTGGAAAACTCTCTCCCACATAGGATGCCTATTTATCCTTCAACCCACTGCCTCATCCAGGATGAGCACCTTCACTCTGAAGTGACAGGGGCTATTGAAATAGAAAGATGTGGCTAAGAATCCAGGGTCACCCTACCCCCCCCCCAGGAGAAGATCAGGCCAACTGAGGCAAGTCAAAGGAGCCACAGAAGCCTCCTGAAATTTGCCAGGGTCAGTCCCCAGAACTCCATAGCTCAAGTACAAGGTCCTCTGGAGGAAAAATGGTATTCATGGTGACCTCAGGACTCACCTAAGTCCCACAGACTCAGGGAGGATGCCATGGTATTGCATGGTGGCCTTTGTTCCCAACAAGAAGCCTGTGCTTCAAAGAGTCAAGCCTGAAGAGTCCTGAGGCCCACTACCCACTGCAAATGACACCACCTCCAATTACATGCAAGAACTCAACTGTCCCTTCACAGGCTGTTCCACCTATGAACAGATCAGGCTTCAGAGAGAGGACTGCCTGGCCTTATCTGTGCACTTCAGTTAGACCCAGGATCTTTCCAGAGAGTCCTGCTCCACAGCCTAGGAAACTAAAACTACATTTCCCAGGTGCCTTTGTGATAAGAATTATTTGAACATGCCAGAATCTACCAATCAAAGATTATTCTGGAGTGGAACATGAGTTTTAGTAAGCTCCCCAACCTGCCTGAGGACCATGTCCGTGAAGCAGTCAGGGAGCTAAGACCCCTGTGTTTGGCCCTGGGGCCCAGCCCAAGGATTCCATACAACTGCAACAGTGATCTTGCCATGTGAATAGCAGCCTTACTGTTACCTTGAATGTTGCCTCAGGAGTTCTGACTCAGCTGGCTCTGCTCTCCACACAGCTTGCCCTCCCCCAGAAAGCCTGCTACTCAGCTATGCATATGCTACACTTGCTTTTGAGGAACATGCCTGAGAGGCATCTGCATCACAGCACACAGGGACCCAGCCCATCGGAGACAGGAGCCCTGCTGTCACTTCTCAACACAGAGAGGAGCAGATAGTGGCCCACCCCTCAGTGGACAGAAACCCAAGAGTTTGGACTCAGCCTCTCATGTGTGCTCATGGTCAGTCCAGACATTTGCTACTAACCCTCAGTATCCTCATGCTGTTTTTGTGCTGATGGAACCAGGCATGGCATCTTTAAACTGGAAAATGGATGCAAGCAAGGTTAGTTGTAAGATTTAAAAAAAAAGGGGGGGGTGGTAACTAATGAAACAATTGGAAACATGTAGCTGAGTTCTGGATACTTAGCACACAAAAGGAGCTATGTCACCAAGGGGCTCAAATAAGGGAGCCAGGATAGATAAAATGTTGGATGGATGGATGGATGGATGGATGGATGGATGGATGGATGGATGGATGGATGGATAGATGGATGGGCGGGCAGATGAGTGACTGCTTAGTGAGTAGAAGAGTGGGTGAATAAATGGATGAGTGGGTAGATGGAGAAAGAAATGGATGGGTGGGTAAATGGGTGGATAAGTGGATAGATCAGTAGGTGGGTGTGTAAGTGGGTGGGTGGGTGGGTAGTGGGTTATGTTTTCTTGGGAAGAGATGAACAAACATCTATTCACCCTAGATGAAGTAATAATGACTTCCACTAATGACTCTAACTTAGGCCTCCCAGGAGCATGGACAACCTAGAGGTGGTTATAGCAACAAGGAAGAGGCATGCCCTCACCCAGAAATAGCTAATCACTTGTGTCCTCAGGGAGAAACAAGCTTTAACACATTGCCCCATCTGTAGCCATGTGAGCCATTTGTGAGCATCTTGTGAATCTTCTCTCCCCTCCACAAGGGAAGGTTAGTAGACTCACTCTTGTGAGAATCTCATGTGAATAATTACAGTTGTTCTAACTGCAAGACAGCAATAGCTATGTTGTGCTTGGAGAACAATATTCCTCCATGGATGGGTGAATAAACAGAGGAGTGGACGGTGGGTCAGTGGGTAGATAATAAATAGAGGTGGATGAGTGAACAGGTTAATGAATGGATGGTGGTTAGGCACAGCTGGTAAGTGGGATACAAGAGTAGATATATATTATGGATAGATGGTTTGATGGATGGTGAATATTGGATGGATAAGTGGGGTGGGTAGATAGATGGTTATAGATTACCGATTGTTGGATGATGAATGAATGATGGATGGACTGATGATAAGTGGGTAGGTAGGTGGACAGAAGGATATAGACAATAGATGAATGGCTAGTTAGATGGATGGACGGATGACAGATGGATGAATTGGTAGCAGATATATGAAAAGACAGATGGATGGACAATGGAAGGATGTGTAGGTAGATAATGGATGCGTAGACTGATGGAGGGAGGATGGATGGATGGATGGATGAATGGATGGATGGATGAATCAATATTAGTGGCAAATGGATTAATGGATGGAGGATAATGTGTAGGTGGATTGATGAATGAATGAATGAATGAATGAATGAATGAATGAATGAATGAACGAACGAACAGATGGACAGATGGATATATGAATGGAAGGGTAGGTGGGTGGGTGGATGATAGACAAAAAGATAAGTTGGTAGTGGGTGAGCAGATGGTTGGAGGGAAGGATTAGTCAATCACTCACTGAGCAAGTGAGAAGAGGAATGGGCAAACCAGGAGGCAGAGGCCAAAGACACCTTAAAAATGGCTAGGCAGTCACACATTTACCTTAGCCTGCCCCATGAGGCATTTCTTTCACCACTCCTAAGCACTGGCTGCTCTGTGCAGAGTGGAGACCCAGAGCGACTAAGTTCTGGTGCTGCGCTTCCACTCACTTCACAGCTATAGGACACTAAAGCCTCAGTGGAAAGGCCACAGCATATGGGCTCTCCTGACCTGTTAGCCAGTGGTGG